AATCAGCAACCTTTATTCTTCAGTGGCTAACAAAGTATCATTTCACTTTCCTGCGCATGTGGAATACACAATTCTCTTCCAAGGTCATTGTTAGTACCACACTCCGAATGTATTTGTTAGAGGCTGATCTAAGGATAGTTACTAAGTAGCAGGTCCAGAGCATAATATAAAAAGTATTTCTACTTATTTTAGGCTACAGAATGATCAATCAAAAATTCTTTCAGGGTCTGGTAACTCAATATTCCAACGTCCTTCTATTTCCAAATTAATCCTATTTAAGTTGAATACTTTCAGTTTTCATAAAATTACCTCATCAGATAACACATGAGGAATTCTTTATAAACTGGAAAGTGCTATCAATGTCAGCGCCCCATAGCCGCCTTATTATGATGATGCAGTAAACAGCCTGTCAAACGGATAATTGAGAATAGAGATGATAAAAGAGTTGAGAACTGAGTCCTGGATTCTTTAAATATTTAAAATGTGGGACAATGACAGGAACCACAAAAGAGAAGAAGAGCAGCCTGTGTGGAATAAGACCTTATGGCAAACTGTTCTTCTAAAGGAAGACTTTGGGTGGGTGAATAAGAGCCATTCAGGAGGACCTTGGGGTCAGAACGCTGCCACGGTGCTCTGAATGCCCCGGTCCTTGTGAACCCATACCGTGACTCCTGTAGAGGTACGTTGACGGCACGACACTACTGGGAAAAGGGTCATTCAAACACATGCTTAAAAATCTTTGTTGTCGTTTATAGGTTTCTTAAAGCAAAATTATTTTTAAAACTGCTAAACATACATGCTCCATAACATTGGATGAGCAATGATGAATATAACAATAGACAGAGATTAATTACCCCAGACACTTTGAAACCTAAACGTTTTTGAATGTGTGGTATCTAAATCAACTTGTGATCAAATTCATTTTACCTGAGTTAGTTCCATGAACCACCTCATCAAAGTGGATTTGGTCATGGGTTATATATTCTTTGTTTTTTAAAATTGCAATTTAAATTGCAGTATCACATTTGAATTGCAACCAACGCTGCTGCAGATTTTTAAAACTGTACATGGAATACTGTGGCTACAGCCCGTCTGCAGTGGCCCTCAGGTTTGCTTTCAACATTTGAAACTATCAGAAATTGGGGATATTAGAGAAACAGCTGCAAACAGTATCGATAGTAGTGACAGTCGGTTTACTCTGCATAGCTAAATGGACAGGGCTTGTATTTTCCACTGGTGTTCAGCACCTTCATTGGTTAGCTGCTTTGAAAGGAGGGCAAGTGCCAGAGAGGAGGCTAAGTGAAGGTCCAGTCATTTCAATCCTGAAATTCCATGTTAGTAGTGAAACATCCATACCCATATAAATAAGCCAAATTCAGTCCTTAAAAATATTGAATAAGTTTCCGTAATACTGGGATTTTTAAACTATTCTACTGAAATAGCAAAACAGTTTCAGTTTCCTAAGAGTGAACACTTCATAGTACAGAGGGCTGCTTTCTACGGGAACTTATCAGTTAACATTTAATAATGGCAGCATAAAATCAGAGACCATTTTAAAAGCTAAAAATTTGGTACTTGATGCCACTGTTGGTGAAAACAAAATGGTACCTAAAATGTGTGAAAATATTTTGGTGTAACACTTTGCACATTAAAGTGTATAATTGCCTGACATAAACATGAACAAAAACAGAAACAGAAAATCAGTTCAAGTGATGATTAGAAAGATATTTTTGACTTTGAATATTTGCATAAATGGAGCAAAATCATTAAATTTATGGGATACAATATTAGTATTACCCCTTGTAATTATATATAACTATAAATAAATAAATACATATACATATAACTGTTTCAAATAGGATATTTTTGAGGTGAAAATGAACTATGCACCTATGTTATATTTTACAAGAATAAACATCAGTGTAAGGAAGAAACACTAGGGCATTTTAAGTTCTTAATACAAATGACACCCTGGCAAGTTCTAGAGCACAACATTTTTAAGTTATTAAAACCATCTAGAACTATACCTTAGCTTGCTTTAGCAATATATCAAACTAGCCGAACACAGGCAAAGCATGATAGTGCTTTACAAAAATAGAAATGTGACCTACGCTTTGCTACTTTCTCTGTCCCTCTTTATTTCAGCATGCTATCCACAGTGGTTTTCTAACCACTTATTAAAAATTGAAGAGCAACAGCTATAAACTCTCAGAAACATGATAGTCAACCCACTTATAATAGATGTGGATTTTTTAATGTTTGCCCGGAGTTGTTGAAAGCATCTGTATCTTAAGTCTCCCCAATTCTGATGGATAGTTGCTTGTACCATATCTGTCCATTTCAGTAGTAATTGAAAACTGGGTTTTGAAGTAAAAAATTCATTCTTGCTACCTTGACAAGTATGGTTTTGTGAGAAAACTATTAGAAGCAGAATATCCTCTACTGTCTCTACTTCTCTTATGAAATAAACCAAGAGTCATTTATTATTACATGACAAGTTGCTTAGCTTATAAATAACTTTAGGAATGAAAAAACCCTATAAAATGATAATTTTACATGCACACATACAATTTATAGAGAAAATTTCAACCTAAGCTACTTTTATAATAATTTTTATTCCTTAAAGCACTGCTAATATTCAAACTGCAATGAAATTATAATGCATATAAATGCTCAAGATAGAATGAAAATGAAAGATTAATTAATAGATAAGTATCATAAATCTAAAATACAATGCAGGACACTTTAATTCTTAATAAAAATATTTTTTCCTAATAAGAATAAACATCAGTGTAAGGAAGAAACACTAGGGCATTTTAAGTTCTTAATACAAATGACACCCTGGCAAGTTCTAGAGCACAACATTTTTAAGTTATTAAAACCATCTAGAACTATGCCTTAGCTTGCTTTAGCGATATATCAAACTAGCCGAACACAGGCAAAGCATGATAGTGCTTTACAAAAATAGAAATGTGACCTACGCTTTGCTACTTTCTCTGTCCCTCTTTATTTCAGCATGCTATCCACAGTGGTTTTCTAACCACTTATTAAAAATTGAAGAGCAACAGCTATAAACTCTCAGAAACATGATAGTCAACCCACTTATAATAGATGTGGATTTTTTAATGTTTGCCCGGAGTTGTTGAAAGCATCTGTATCTTAAGTCTCCCCAATTCTGATGGATAGTTGCTTGTACCATATCTGTCCATTTCAGTAGTAATTGAAAACTGGGTTTTGAAGTAAAAAATTCATTCTTGCTACCTTGACAAGTATGGTTTTGTGAGAAAACTATTAGAAGCAGAATATCCTCTACTGTCTCTACTTCTCTTATGAAATAAACCAAGAGTCATTTATTATTACATGACAAGTTGCTTAGCTTATAAATAACTTTAGGAATGAAAAAACCCTATAAAATGATAATTTTACATGCACACATACAATTTATAGAGAAAATTTCAACCTAAGCTACTTTTATAATAATTTTTATTCCTTAAAGCACTGCTAATATTCAAACTGCAATGAAATTATAATGCATATAAATGCTCAAGATAGAATGAAAATGAAAGATTAATTAATAGATAAGTATCATAAATCTAAAATACAATGCAGGACACTTTAATTCTTAATAAAAATATTTTTTCCTAATGAAAATCCTCTTTTTCTTCTTCCTTTTTTTTTGCCTAAACAACAAAAGAAGAAACCAATCTGATAAACTGTATTAATACCAATAATATGAACACATATTCTTACCTGTTCCTTCATCAAAAGATATTCATTTTTCACTAGAAAATTTTATTAGTACATCAAGGAATTCTGTGGCCCTTTGTTCAATTGTTGCTCTAATGCACTAAATTCCATCTCTATAATTTCTATGCTACATTTATTATTGTTTCTAACAGAGAAACATTTCTTTATGTTAATTGCCCTTTGATGTGCACCTCCTTGGGCTTTTTTATTCCTTCGGCCGACACATTTTTCCTTATAAAACAAGGTCCCAGAAAGAATGGGGTATTGATGCTTGAAGCATTTGCAGTGTTCAAAATTTACTACAAGAACTGAAAAGGAAATGAATTCTTCTCCCACCAAAGTCATGGAAGGACACGTCTAACAGGTCCAAAGCAGCCCTTTGTGATTTAGAGGGAGACTGTCAGACCAGCCTCCAGACAGGGCTGCGCAGGTCCAGGAAATTACTTTATAAAGTAATCGCCTTCGGTATGACCTGAGATAAATGAATAGTTGAGACTTGGCTGCTCTGGGTACATTGACTTTTACACTCTTTCTCAGCTGATAACTTTGGTTGTGTTGCCCATGTGACCATGTGACATACACAGCGGTAGAGAGCACATATTCCTTATTTCGTATGTGACAAGGAAAGGAAAGTCGGCTGGTGAATTTGTTTTGTTACTTGGCATTTCCTCTTTTGTGATGGTGTCCAGTCCTGCAAGACCAGAAATGGTTTTCAAACCCACATGAAGGTGAATAATTGGTGAGAATTGTTTTGGAAGAACAAATGCACAAGAGTTAAATACAAGTCTTTTTATCACCACTGCTAACCATATATTTCACCAATTTCTTTGCAATTTGACAATGATGAAAAACTAATAAAGTAACTGTTACATAATGGCACGATAGTATAATAAAATTGCAGAATTTGATCATTTAGTAAGGCTTACCCATCCTGGTTTCACATTATTTACCAGTAAGCTTTTACTATGAATGATACTAGTTATTTCACACTCTGACGATTGTCCCCCTTTAAAACCTTTAATTCTCAGAGCCGATGATCCTTCACTATTTTTCTTTCATGGGAACCCATTAGTTAAAAATGTTCAAAAACCCCAAGAATAAAAGTCCTGAACAAAAATAGGTACATTTTCACTTCCAAATCCTCTTGCATGCTTTTGAATTCACTGTCATTATTTCTTTACATGCATAATAATTTTCCTTAATTATATTTCAAAATCAACACTTTAGAAGTGGTGTTAGAATCATGCACTTACAGTCTGTGATTTTTAGTGTTCTCTTGACTTCTCCACTTCCTGACGCCCCGCAACCATCTTCGTCGTCACAGTCGCCGCTGACCTGTTCGACCATTCCATCACCACTGCCCAGGGGAAGTTCCCACTTGTCCGGTTTGGGTGACCTACCCTGTAACAACTAAATATGGATACCAAAAACATTCATTAACATCAGATTCAAGCCATCTAATTCAACATATGTTGAAATTAGAATTATTTTCTTATGTGGGTCTACTTTTATGGTGTAGATATCTTACCAAACCAAATCTACAAGAAAAAGAAAAACCACTGAAATTATAATAAACAATAGCAAGGTCTTAGAGCTGTACTCTAAGACCTGCATATTATCTCTGTGGTTAATCTGTGGATAAGGCTTTGAAAAGCAAATAAAAACAGGCCTTCTGGCTCATGGATAGCTTGGTTGGAGAACCCTTTGTTTCTGAATAAACAATATTTAAATGTGGTAAATTTAACACCAATAAAACACAGTTCCCTTTGCAGCCTTTTGGCTATTAATATTGTGCTGTTTTGCAGACCAACAATTCCAAGTCTCAAAAAGTAGAGTACTATTCTTTATGAAGAAATTTAGTAAAAAGAAAATAGAACTGTGGGTATATATACTTATAGCTTCATTTAACTTTCTTGCATTGAATGCACACTCTGATGCATATGGCACAGACGGAAACCTTGGAACAAAAGACTTCGGTCCTACTTCCATTTCTACATGCCAGATAAGGAATTGAACCAACTTTTTAGTTCTGGTTCTCAAGCATTTCATTTACTTTTATGAGCAAAATAGATGGAATTGCCGTTTTCCCCTATAGCATGGGAGTACTGGTAATATTTCTGAATAATATTGGAAATGCCTGAACTCCTTTTCAAAAAGGTGATGTTATGAATAATAAAGTTTTTCACTTAAGACTGAGGCAAATGAGCCAAGTATGTGACATTTATCCCTTCAAGGCAGTTTTGGATGACACATGACGAAGCGTGACCGCTGGAGGGTACTGGTAGGTTGTGAGGGAAATGTACTACTGCTGAACACTTAATGGGCATTTATATTTTCAGGGTGCTTTAAAGTATTAGGGTTATTACTTTTAAGGGATTTTCCAGAAAATAGTACTGATTAGCAGACAATAATTAAACACACAACCCAAGATGGCATTTCACACTGAAAACCATAGACTGAAATACCCTCAGTACAACGAATACAAATATGTTTAGAATTTAAAGAACACTTGCATTATGCAATAGGACCCTGACAATGTCTAAGCTTTCAAAGTTAAAATTTCAAGTACGTCACAAATTCTGAAATGTCACAGTTCTTCAAAATTTAGTATTCCTAAGAAGTATTTATTTTTCCTAATAAAAATTTTAACTAGAAAGTTAAAATCATTTGAGAATAATCTAAAAATTCCGGTCAGAACTGAAAAGCTCATTGAGTTCTTCACAATGAAATCCATATTAAAATCTCAGTTCTCTTGGACTATTCTGATTTCTTCTGAGTTTGATCATCTTTCTTCTCACACTTTCAGAACAATAGAAATAACTGTCAGTTAAAAGCATAAATCTTCTGTTTTTTGTTTTTGGTGCCTTGGTGGGAACACATCCTAACAGAGTGTGCTCGCACATGCATACAAATTGCACTCAAGTCTTTATTTGAAGCCATTATTACTCCTTAGTTCATCTCAAACCAGAGACTGGATATAGAAATGTACTCTACTGCTTTTTATTCTAAACTAAAACAATTCACCTCCACTATTGATGTATCATTGCTACTTCTCTTCCTGGCTCTTTCACCTCCTGAAAGGAACTCGGTCTCTGTCACCTACTACCCATATTCTTTTCCCCGAATCAGTACTTTCACCAGGTCATTTCTCTGCTTAAATGCTCTCTATGACTGTCAAGTGTCAAAAACTATTGGTTCCCAACATGGACTGGAGGAGAAATATCAGTACAGATGGATGAGTCACAGGAAGAGATGCTGGGGTAAAATGCTCATGAAATCCCTACTATGGCCTCTTCTTTCTATCCATGGACTAAAGGTTTGTGAAAAGATTACAGGAAGTAATCTTGTTTAGTTGAGATTCACCACACAGTTTCCAAATTTACACAAGCAAATTACCCCTCCCTTCACTCAACACCCACTGACGTACTTTAAGAAATGAGGTCCAGAAAATAAAGTTTGAAATTACTCTGAAGTCAAGGCCCCACCCATATAATATGGTGGATTCTTAAATTTTAGTCTAAATACAATCCCCCAACACCCACATTCTACCACAGAGCAATAGTTTGTTTTTCACACAGGAATTGTGGGAATTTAAAAGGCTATAATTTCATTTATACTTGTTTTATATTCTTCTTGGTTTCAACTCTTGTTCCTCCACATACAATACCCCCTCTCCTCCCCTTCAGCTCATCATTTTATACCTGAATTTCAAGTTCAAAATGAAATATGTTATTTTCTACCCTACATATATTTCTGTGATCTTTTAATTTTATTTATACCATTCACTGGCATTTAATTAGCTTTCTTGGGCTTATGCTATACCTTTCTAATTAATGCCTAGTTTCTCAAAGATAAGACCATGACTTAATCTTTATACTCATTATTATGACTGGAGGGGAATACACTCCACACTGTAGATGCTAAATATATTTTATCTTCTTGAAATTTGAAAATAATTTATTAAATTTAACCCTTTCATCAATGCCCTTTATATCTATTTTAGTAAAGTGATTTTACTTTTGCTCAAATCTTCATGATGTTCTAGAATATCTTTTGAATTCATGCATATTGCTTGGCAGATTAATTTACTTACTCATTCAGTGGCAATAGTTGAACATACACTATGCAACACATACATATTTTGAAGGATATACATTCACATCAAAAGAGAAAACAGTCTTGGTTCTTAGAAAGTACTCAGTTTACATACTTTATTTCAGTTGGCATGAATATGTGACAAGATAAAACTAAAGAAATAATTTGAAAATCAGGAAAAAGGAGAAACAGAGTAAATGCTTAGTTTTCTGAGCTTACTGAATTATTTTTCTTTTTAATCTTTAATAAGAAATAAGCTGAATCAGTCTTATTCCTGAGCACTTGGAAGCATCTATGAAGTTGCTTAAGCAAAAAAAAAAATCTAGCATTGAAGGTTCATGCCAAGAAATCCTTTTCAAACATATTTATGTTTTCCATTCTAATTACTATAAATTAGAAAGAAAAAGTGGTATTACAATTATATTTTTAAATGAGTATCTAGGAGTTTCAAAAACTGATTCATACAAAAATCTACTTTTTTTCTAGGACAGGGAGAAAAGTGTTAGCTTCACGATTTAGGTCATCAGAGATAGAAATCTTCCCGTTTTTTCACAGGGAATCAGTGCCTTGTATCACAGGGGATATAAAATCCTCTCCTCCTCCAGTGCCTGGGAGACAGCAGGCAAGTCACTCTGCCATGCTCCGTTGGCTGTATCCACCTGCGCAAGTGTTATTGCACATCCTACTCTTAAGCCACTTCTGAGAAATACACAGCTTCCTTCCAAGGGGAACCCTCTCCCACTTGTCTTTAATAAAATGAAACAGTTTCCCCGCATACATTTAAAGCAACATACACAAAATAACTCTAGACTAATAAAGCCAATTTCTATGAATGACACATGAAAATGAGTCATATTACATAGACATACTCTGCTACATACTGTAACAAATCACTCTTCATTTTTACAATACACAAATAGCTGTTCCATATATTCATAAAATATAGAACATGTTATAAGAATTTTTCAGAACTTACAAGTTCAAATAAATTTAACATTACATCTCTGAGTCAACATTTTCTAAATTGTAAAGTGGGATTAGAATATCTGTTTGGCAAGTTTTGTGGGTGTTATGTGGGTTAAACTATATAAAGTGCTAGCATATAGTAAGTGCCCGTAATGGGTAGTTTTCTGTATCATTATGTCACTGTCACCAATAGTAACTGATATTGCTACACCGATCCTGTATTTGAAGGAAGGAAGCAATATAGGGATAAACATCTCTCTTTTCATTCTCATTCTGTCTTGGCTCAATCTCAGTCTGCCCAAACATAAAAATGGTGGTGTTCTGAACACTTGAACCTATTCCCCTGTCATGAACAGTAGAAAGTCGATCAATACATACATATTTATAGTACAATTACAACAGAGGAAAGGGCATGATTTTGAGTCCCAGCCACACATTAATTGTGTGCCTTTAAGCAAATCACTTAAGCCCATTAAAACTCATTTTATTCCACTGAATAATAATGCGCAGAAAAGCACTTCATACACCAGAAAGCACTATGCTCCACTGTTTTGCCCAAGACACTGCACCCAAAAAACTAAGAAGCAAATTAAGTGAGAACAGGGTGAAAAAATACCCAACAGCTTTTAGGGTATATTCCCTTTCCTCGATACCATGCAGTTTGTGCAATCAGCTGATTAGATGAAAAATAGTCAGTTTGATGACTGATGTTTCCTGCTTACATTTAGTCGGCTTAGGAAGCTCATTAGGGATGCTGTCTTGGAGGATGAGTTTGGTGGGTAGAATATCTGATGACTCTAAGGCAAATGGATTGCTTTCAGCTGGTGAATTAATCTCTCAATAGACTCAATTTGCTTTTTACTAACTGTCTGGCAATATCCCACAGTTGCAATATCCTTTAAGACGCTTACAAAAAAATCCGGTTATAGATGGCTCACATACACAACATGATTGCTGTGAAAGAGAAACATATTCTTCACATTCAAAAATCTCTCCAAACATGAGAGCAACTGAATGTGCTTCAATGTCCTATATGTAACGATGCATCTCTAAAATATTTCCTCCATCCTCTTACAACCATTTACACAGATACATAAGAGGCAAATACGTGTTTAGAAAGTATTACACATCATATATGTAGTTCTATTCACCAATTCAAATAAAGACATGGCAAAATCTGCTGTTTTGTGATCCTACACTTTTGAGAGTATAAGTAGATGAAAATTAAGAGGTCGACAGAGAAACTTCATATGAGAAAACTAGAGATATAGAAAAAATTATACTTTCATTTCATCATTAATAATGCTAAATAATTTTAAGTATAGACTGAAAAAATCTCCATATATATA